GACGCCCCCGGGCCGGGCGGCTCGCAGATCCCAGCTCTGGGCAGGGAGCGGGGCTCAGGGGGCGGAGACCGAGGCGCCGCGGGCTCCGGAGACAACTTCCCGGGAACGCGGAACGCGGGCCGCCGCCGCGGGGGCCGACCGGAGCCCGAGCCGCCCTGGCGCGCGGAAATGCGCAGTTCCCAGGGGAGGGGGGACCTAGAGCATCCCCCTCGGCAAGGCTCCGCGGCCGGAGAGGGAGGGGCGCGCGTACGTGGAGCGGGGCGCGGCGGCCGGGTGCCGGGCGGGGGCTCTCTCGCAGGCGAGGGGGCGGGCGGGGGCGGGGGCGGGGGCGGGGCCGGAGCGGCCACGCCCCTGGGGGCTGGGCGCTCTCTCGCAGAGGGGCAGCTCACTGGGGAGAGGGGCTTCCACTCGCGCCCCCACCGTCGAGGGCTGCGGGAGTGGGAGCTCCTGCCGTCCCTGCTTTGTAGGCCTCGGGGCCGGTGGCGGACGGGCGCCTCCTTCGAGGTGTCTGTGAGGGTATGTGTGTGTGGCCGTCATTGTAGTGGTTGAACCTGGGGTTGAACTTGACTCACCGGAAACTGAACAATGGGTGAAAGACAGGTTTGGAGCCTGACGCCGAGCCGGGAAGCCGGGTGGCAGCGTGTCACACCGGAGGGACGGAGCGGGGAGGAGACGGAGACGGAGCAGGAGTTGGCAGAATGGCTAGCAGGGGGTGGGGATGTGAGGGGCAAAGGCTACCGGTGAGGGGAACCGTCCCCAGCGCTTTGCATGCGAAGCGAAAGCCGGCCCAGAGTGCCAGCCCTCCTGAAATCGAGATGGGCTGACCGAGGAGTCTACACTCACTGAGTCAGTCGGCAAACACGAGTAAGAGACTGCCATGTTCTATATACAATGTGCCAGGTACTACGAAGACATTTGGACAAGTCCCTGTTCTCGAGGGACCAATGGACCTGGGTGCTGAGGGAAGTTGACCTTGAACTAATGGTACAGCAGTTTTTTAAACTCGGATTCGCCGGCCTCGGTGACTCAGCCTGTAATCCCAGCGCTTTGGGAGGCTGATGTGAGTGGATTGCCTGAGCCCGGTGGTTCGAGACCCGCCTGGGCAACTTGGCAAGACCTCTTCTCTACAATAAAACAAAAACTAGCCGGGCGTGGTAGCGCGCGCCTGTAGTTCCAGCGACGTGGAAGGCTGAGGCGGAAGGATCGCCGGAGCCCAGCAGGTCGAGGCAGCAGTGACCGGAAGCGGCCACTGCACTCCAGTCTGGGTGACAGAGGGAGACAACAACTCAAAAAAAAAAAAAAAAAAAAAAAAGCTCGGATTCTTTTCTAGTCTACTCCATAAGAAAAATTAAAGTACAATTCCTAACCTGTAAATAGCTGGACCCTTTAATATCTCTGTATACTTCTGACTACCTACTTATGCCTCCTCCCTAGCCAGTAACCCTCTATGGCTCCCTATTGCCAGTTAAATTCGGTATAAATTTCTCAGTCTATGCATTTCAGGCCCTCCCCAATATCTCCTGTGGCTTCATCTCTCACTAAGCCTGCCTAGCTACCCATTACAAAACCAATCAGACCGGGCTTAAGATCTTGCACACCCATCCATGCTTTGAATCAGACCCTGGCACAGGACCTTTCACCTAGTTCAGTCGTTCTCAATCCTGGCTGCACATTAGAATCACCTAAGTAACTTTTTTTTTTGAGTTGGAGTCTCACTCTGTCGCCCAGACTGGAGTGCAGTGGCATGCTCATGGCCACCGCAG